GTTACTTGCATACTTCTAAAAACTAACTCCAAGCCGTTTGCAGCCTCAGCAGAGAAGAAAAATAACAAAACGAAGCGATTTTTGATCAAAACAGATGTTTTGCTTATTGGGGATAACACAAAAGAAAAATGAGTCAGAGTTCTGCTAAAGTAATGACACGGTTTCAGATGTGAAACACAGATCAGATAAACGGGCTTTCTGAGATCGATCTGCACGTGATTTCTCTACCTGCACATTGTTTTTGGTTTTTCCTTTAACAGAGCGATGTGACTGTCAGACAGGATGGAGGAACCTCTGCCAGGAAAATCCATCGCAGGCTGACTCTTTCTGATAAGTAAACAGGTGAGCAGCGGCACGCGGACACTCGGGGCGTTCCAGGAATTCGAACACGTCTCGACTCAAAACATTTTATCATCTTTGCGTTGAACCGATGTTTTTTTTTTTACTTTGAAAAACAAAACTGAAAAAAGCTTTGTGGGTTTCAGACAAGGCCTTACTACACAGGGAAATGTGTTCGACAGGAGGCATGTTGATATTTAGCATTTTCTCTTTCTGCATGGGTGTGAGCGTTTGTGTTTGTGTGTGTGTGTGTGTGTGTGTGTTTGTGCCTGTGCGGTGTCAGATAAAGCCTACACACTCTTCTAACTTGAACTTTCAAAACTTAATGTGACCTATTTTGTTCATTTTCAGTCCCTTTCATCTTTTCTGCACATCTTTTTTTGCATTTTTAAAATTCAGGCTTCAGATTTGTCTAAACCAAATTTATTAATATCTAAATCTAAACATCTAAATGTGTTAATAAACACATCAGTTACAAAAATAAAAAAATATGTGCAGTGAACACATTTTCTGAACCAGGATTTAATGGTTTATGTTGGCCCTTTTTGTTGATTTTCTACTTTAGCTTTGATTTCTGACACATATTTTCTGACAGTTTAAAGCTTAATAATTAAGTTAACTGTGATCACAAAAGATTTAAAGTGCACATTTTATGCAGACTTTATAATTCACTCTTGTATCCTTTAATTTTAGAGTCAGACCCAATTCTTTGTATGTTTTAAGGTCACAAGATGCTGTATTTATTTACAGCTTTGTGCAATATTCAAATTGGCTGTTTTTTTACGTTAATGTTCAAAGGTCACGCTCATCTGCTCTAAATGCCATGATCACAATGTGTTAAACATCAGGAAATGCACCAAACTGCAGGGAGGAAAGTGACATTTCTGTCACAAGACTTAAGCCAGGTGGTTAGTATTTTAACACAACCCACAGAATGACTGGCAAAGAAATGTACTCTCAGAATTGTCTAAAATGTCTATGTACGATAAGAACCTGAAGGCAGCTGTTAGTGGACCCTAAACTCACTAATTGATTTATCTTTATAAAAGTTTGATTTATAATGTGAATATTTAATTAGTAGGAATTTGAAGTAAAAGGTTAAAACTGTATAGGTTGAGTTGGAGGTTTTCTCCCATACATGGCCACTGGATATGATTTTGCCCATGTTTCTGTGCACTCCTGTGTTTATGTTTCTGACAAAAAAAGTAATTTTAAAGAAATCTGAGTTGTCATATTTAAATGAAACACGCAGAAAATTGTTGTTGCGCATCTAAAATTGAGCAATTGTTGATTCAAAATAGCATGAGGGTCAGGGGCAACAACAGACCGAACAAGCGAGCTCAGTGGTGGGCAATCAGCTGGACTCTGTGGAGGGTGCAGTGGAGCGGAGAGTAAAGTCCAGACTGAGAGCGATACTGGACCACACTGGTCACCCTCTCCACCAGACCTTCGCACAACAAAAGAGCTCATTTGGTGGAAAATAGGTTCACTGGAAGACTCAACTGATCATTGGTTGCTTGGATCATCAGGCTACACAACTCTTCTGCTGGCCGGTCCCAATGAAGGGAGGTGAACTGTGTCACCTGAACAAGTGTGGTCCTGTAAACTACTGCTCCGGAGCAACTGTAGGCTCGTGGAGCTATCATGTCCTGATTCATAACCCAGGTAGAAAAATCAAAAAAGGTTAAATAGGTCCTTTTTTTATGAAATGTTTTGTCTCTTCTCCAACAGACTTCATCAGTCTGAGGAGTTTCAGGTGAACTCAGGTGAAGGATGAGAACATCTTCATCCCTGAAGGAGTGGCCGAGTGTAAACTGCAGAGCCCTGACCAGATGATGTTGCTTTTCTGTGTTGGGACATTCTTTTGAACAGTGGCTGCTTTGTTTCCTTGATGTACAACTGATCACAGTCCTCCTGGAACCTAACAGCATTACTCTGAGCCAGGGGACCAGATCTTTGGGGTGAACCATTGTTTGCCGCAATGTGTTTTGGGGGTTGAAAGCCACTGGGACGTTTTGTTTAGAGAATAAAAGACTCAGTTTCTGTGAACCTCCTGCAACATACAGAATGACCTCTGGTTTGGGTCTGGGTTTGGGGTCTTCCTTTTCACCTGGTGGCTGGCTGGAGTCCTGTTTGGGTTTCTTGTCTGCATTGAGGAAAGCTCAGTTAGGATAACCACATTGCTCCAGGGCCTGTCTTGTGTGTGATTTCTACTTTTCCCTGGCTCCTGGGACCCAGGAGGTAGGGAGTGTAATTGTGAGTGTTTGCGGGATTTATCCTTGTCAGGGATCCAGGGAGAAGGATAACCACATTGCTCCAGCCAGGGTCTGTCTTGTGTGTGATTTCTCCTTCTCCCCCAGGAGCCAGGTTCATCAGGCTCCTGGGACCCAGGAGCCAGGGAGTGTGATTGTGAGTGTGTGTGATTTCTCCTTGTCAGGGATCCAGGGAGAAGGATAACCACACACAACACAGGCCCTGGAGCAATGTGGTTATCCTAACTGAGCTTTCCTCAAAGCAGACACTTTCACCAAATGTATCAAAATGAATCACATGTTTTTTTATACAAAGGTTAAACTGTTTTCTGTTGTATGATGATACCTCTTTAATACTATTTAGTTTGTAGAATAAATCTAGTAGTAAGGTTTGGATTTTTCTGTGTAACAATTAGATCATGAGAAGAGCCAAATGCAGAGCATCACAAGTCATTCCAGCTGTCAAACAATCACAGCTGCATGAGGCCTAAAAACATATTTAGGTCCATGAATTTGTCATAGCAGTGACTGCAGGTCATCTGTGGTGAGAGGAAAAGAAGACTGAACTCTTTATATGCTGTACTCTGAGTAAAACACAAAAACAGTTGTTTTTATGTTGGCACTTGATGCTGAATTCTTTGTATTTGCTTGCTGCAAGGAGTAAAGGATTACTTTAAAAAGGTGCTTCACATTCCAGGGAATGTTCTTTTTGATGTGCTTTATTCTCCTGACATGCTTTCCCTTTTTACTTTGTACCCCTAACTGCAGAGATATTCTTACTGCTAGATTAAACAATAGCCATCGGGCCCGAGATTTAAAAAAAAATTAACAAATTAATCATCATCGTTATTATTTTTAACACGACTGAATCAGGTGAGAGTTGTTTCGAACGCATGTGCCAAGAAATTACACAAGATCTTGCAAAATTTTGTTGAATCACACGTAACTTTTTTTCAGGTTGTTACAAACACAACCATAATGTCATCATTACACAACATGAACCAATAGTTTAAAGCTCTGGCAAAATGCATTATTTTAAGAAATGGTAGGTTTTTAATTCAATAAATGTGCTGATTGTGTCACAGAGAGAGTAAAATGTTTAAAAAAGTTTTATTTTCATGAGAATGATCTAGTCATAAACACACACACACACACACACACACACACACACAC